CACTCCACAGAGTCAGGCTTCTTAACCAAAAATGAATCTGAGATATCCACCACCTCCTCAAATTTCTTGGACTGGGCACGGGTAACTGCGCATGCGGGAAAAACGTACGGGAAATTTTCGGCCAGATCCGATTTCTGTCCTGCACTCGGTTTATATGATACAACTGGTCTAGGAAAGACTGTGCCACCCGCAAGGTCATTCCCTAGAATCAGATCAACACCCTCAACAGGCAACTGTGGGCGCACTGCTAAACTGACCTCACCACTGACAAAGCTTGACTTTAGATACGCGGTATGAAGTGGCACATTCACACAATGCATTTCAATTCCACGAATCAGCACATCACTACCCGTAAAAGAGTCAGCAGAAAAAGGTAATATTCTCTCAGATATAAAAGACTGAGCAGCACCTGTGTCTCGTAATATTGTTACAGGTTTAAAACCAGAATCAGGAGACAGGGAGACTGTCCCTTTAAACAAGAAAGGATGATAACTCTCTCCACTAAGAGAGCTGTCAAACACATGGTGTGCACAAGTGCTACATTTTGGGTTTGGAAGTCGCGTTTTTTTGTTTCCAAGCCTTACAGTCCGCAATCAAATGGTTTGGATCAGACAGAAAAAACAAACACGCCTATCATCACCGTTCGTAGGCTTTCGCGCAAATTTGGATGCAGACTCACTTTTAAAAGAATTTACAGCACGCGGTGTTGCCGAGCTTTCCACATTCGCAAACGGAGACCTGGCAGATGTGTGGGCTGAGAACACATTTCTGTGAGTCAACACAAACTCATCTGCCAAGACCGCAGCACTTGCCAATGAAACCACTTTTTGTTCATTCAAGTGCATTACAATATTTGCCGGCAGACAACGTTTAAATTCGTCTAGCAAGATTAACTCCTGTAAATGCTCCAAGGATGCAACCTTGCTAGAAAAACACCACTTTTCGAAAAGAACTCTCTTCTCTCTCACAAACTCAACATACGTTTGCTTGACTGTTTTCGAATGATTACGAAATTTCTGTCGGTAGGCCTCAGGGACGAGTTCGTACGCTCGCAGCACTGCCGCCTTAACAATATCATAGTCAAGAGAGCTTTCAATTGGCAGAGCCGAACAAACTTCCTGAGCTTTTCCGGTTAGACTACACTGGAGTAACAAAGCCCACATATCTTTTGGCCACCTCAATTTACTAGCTACGCGCTCAAATGCGACAAAGTATGAGTCGACTTCGGTCTCTCTAAATGGAGGTACAAGTCTGATATACTTACTGACGTCGAAATAATCACTAGGAGGTGTATGAGAAAAGTCCTCGGTGCCGGTACTACCACCAGTTGTTAAGGGTAATCTAGTACGTGGAAGTGGTATTGGGTTTCTAGCCAGACGCTCTGATTCTAGATCCAGTCTACGGAGTTGGATATCTCGGTCAGCCTGCCTCTCCACTACGCGTAGCTTTATAGTTTCTGCCTCACATTCCTGTTTTTTAATTGCCAGTTCCAACTCCTTCAATTTCAAAACAATGTTTGGATCCTGAGACATAGCCGACTCATAGTTGACATCCTCCCTCTCCGCTTCCAATGATCTAACCTCAGCGCTTTCTTCACTCTCTCTAGGCAAAATACCATCCTCTACCAATTTCTCATACAAGTTTTCCTTAAGCACTTGTTTAGTGACATCTTTTCTTACAGCAATGTTAAAGAAATCTGCTATCAACTCTAGATCCTTTTTCTTACAGCAATTAAATGCTTCAATAGTAGGAGAAAGCGTAAACTCAGTAAAATCAAATTCCATTATCCAAATTGCTGCCCTTCCTCCGCACCTACAGTCAAAAACAGTCAAATTTTGAGAGAAGAGAGTACTTACCAGCAGCCAATTAACGGACGGACGAGCCCCCACTTGTTACGAGCTACTCCCAGTCTAGGGTTGGGAGAGGGTAACAAACTTAAATAAAAATTAAGTAAAGCTTAAACGCAAGCGTGGAGGGTTCCCTTCAATCCTCTGCCCCAGAAATGTGAGTCAACACTGGATATCATCAATGAAAAGATTTATTGTATTTAAACAAAGAAAATAATGGGGGAATGCACTTTTCAGGAGATGGCCACCAAAACAACAAACAAAAAGGTTCTTACTGGTTGAGCAGAACTAAATAACCTATACAGGTAAAAGAAAAATAAATAAACAACATGTGCTTCCCTCTACTCCCTGACTGACCAAAAACAGGAAATAATAAGATATAAAATAAAAGATGACTCGGTCTCCCTACCGTTCCCCAAAAGAAATAAAAGGAAACAAATGCAAAGATTTCTATACAATACCTTTTAGTTACCAGAACAGAGTTATAAAGAAATCCTTAAAGAACTTGTCACAACTTGATAAGCAACCCTACTTGCTATCTTTGAACAGCAACGTGTACACACAGAGACAGAGTAGTCTTCCACAGACCAGGTCAATACACCAGCTCAGCACTCCATATTCACAACAACACAAGTCTGGTGCAGGGGAGAAGTGAACCTCTTCAAGCCATGTTCACTCTGCTCTCTTATAGTGCAGCTCCGCAACTCTCCACGAGCCTCAGGTGTGGCTAATTAGCTGCAATGCAATCAGAGTGAGGGAGAGACTGACAGAGCTCAACTAACACAGCAATTTAACAAAGTAAAATACAAATCAAAAACACTTTTCATAATAATACGTCCCCAGGACGTAACACCTGGAACATGAGTGGCACGAAGCGACCTCAGATGCTTCTGACTCCACATGAGGAGGTGGGAGGCGAGTCGCGACATGCGGCGGGAGCGTAGACCACCTTGGCGGTTGATATACGCAACGGTCGCAGTGCTGTCCGTACGGACCAGTACATGCTTGTCTTTGAGAAACCGCCTGAGGCGGCACAAAGCCAAGCATACTGCTTGCAACTCCATGCAGTTGATATGCCAATGCAGTTGGGGCCCCGTCCACAGACCCGAGACTGCATGCCCTTTGTACGTGGCCCCCCACCCCATGGCAGAGGCATCCGTGAAAACGACAGCATGCCTGGAAACCTGGACTAAGGGCACTCCGGCCCGAAGAAACGCAGGATCCGACCATGGGGAGAAGGTTTGGCGACAGCGCGGGGTTACTTTGACCCTGAACGTGCCAGTCTGCTATGCCCACCTCGGGACTCGATCGTGAAGCCAGTGCTGGAGCGGTCTCATATGTAACAGGCCGAGCGGCGTTACTGCGGCTGCGGCTGCCACATGCCCCAGGAGCCTCTGAAATAGTTTCAGTGGAACCGCACTCTTGCCCTCGAACTGTCGAAGACAAGTCAGCAGCAGTCTCAGGTCCTTTCGAGGCAGGTTAGCACTGACTGGATGCGTTCCTCCTTGAGGCGCGCCGTCTGGGCGACCGAGTCCAACTTCATACACTTCATACTCTTGTGCCAGTTGACCTGAAGCCCCAACCAGCTGAGGTGCCGTAGCACCATGTCCCTGTGATCGCACAACACCTCTCGCGAGTGAGCCAGTAAGAGCCAATCGTCGAGATAGTTGAGGATGCGAACGCCTTGTTCTCTCATGGGAACAATGGCCGCCTCCGCGACTTTCGTGAAGACGCGAGGTGACAGGGCCAGCCCGAAGGGTAGGACTTTGTACTGATACGCTCGACCCTCAAACGCAAACCGTAGGAACGGTCTGTGTCGAGGAAGAATCGAGACATGAAAGTACGCGTCCTTCAGGTCGATCGCTGCAAACCAATCCTGGGGACGGACGCACTCGAAAATGTGCTTCTGCGTGAGCATCTTGAACGGGAGTTTGTGCAGGGCCCGATTCAAAACTCACAGGTCCAGGATTGGCCGTAACCCACCGCCTTTCTTGGGTACAATGAAGTAGGGGCTGTAAAACCTGGACCTCATCTCGGCAGGAGGGACCGGCTCGATCGAGTCCTTCACCAGCAGGACATCGATTTCTTTCCGCAGGACAGGGTGACCGCACACGGGTGAAGTGAACGCCCCTGAACCTGGGAGGCCGGCGTGCAAACTGAATTGCATAGCCGAATTGAATGGTGCGAACGAGCCATCGGGACGGACCCGGAAGCGCTAGTCAGGCTTCTAGGTACTGACCCAACGAGCCCACCCGAACCACCGGCATACCCGCGGAGGGGCAGCGAGGTGGAAGGCAGGGACCCGGCTCCAGTGGCAATGTAGTCACTGGAAGCAGGGTCTGGGCGTGAAGTTTGCCAGGGACCTACTTCCACCGGGGGGGCAGACGGCAGAGAGAGCCCGTGGGCTTCCTGCTGCGGGCTGCCCTATGGCGAGGGGAAGAGACGCAGCACGAGGCCCTGCCTCCTCGTGAGCTGGTCTCTGCCCCTCCGAGTCCAGTTACTGACCGGAGCGACGCAACCAAGGAAGCGCTGCTGCTATCTGCAAACTGGGAAGAGGGGAACAAGAGCGACGCTGCTCGGAGACAGCATCCACTGCCGTTCGGATCCTCTTGGGTGGAGGAGACTGAGTGCCCGTCAGTCTCGACCGAAGATGACCTGGAGGAGGAAAAGGAAACCGCTCTTTTATTGAAACTTTTGGCGGAACAGAAAAAAAACTGAACAAAAAATTCTCCGCCCGGCCCTCCCCCGGGTGAAGGAGGTGTGCAGAGGCACCCTCCTGAGCAGTCTCCTGTAGCTCCACCAGGTCGCCTGTCTCAGGAACGCTTCCCTCCCCTCCTTTTACGGGAGGGGGCCAGGGCGCCTGAGCGGGTTGGGCCGCCCTCTTGCGACCAGACTTCCTCGCTCCAGGGTTGGTGGTCTGCGCTGGAGGAGGAGCTAGCGCCGAGGAGCGACCCCGGTGACGGGAAGCAGCCGGGGCTTGTACAGCCACAGGGGAAGGACTCGCAGCAGTCCGCCTCCTGTGCAGGACGTGCCGTATAGCCTCCGACTGCTTCTGGGCGGTGGAGAACTCCTGGGCCAAGTTCTCCACCGTGTTGCCAAAGAGGCCGCCCTGGGACACGGGGAAGTTGAGAAGTTTGTTCTTCTCCGCTTCCCTCATATCTGCCAGGGTATCGCCCGACCCAGCGAATGTCCGGTGACTTTCGTTGCTCGGAGAGCGAAGTCCATCGCCACACGCAGCTCCTGCAGCAGAGCTGGGTAGGGACCCCCCGCCTGCACATCATGAAGCGCCTTCGCCTGGTGTACTTGCAAAAGCGCCATGGCGTGCAGGGTGGAGGCAGCATCCCCACACGCACTGTAGGCATCCCTGGTCAGCGAAAGAGACAACCGGAACCGCCCGAGCGGGCTCCGGCCGCTCCACCGGAAGCACCGATGGCAGCGTGCTGCTAGAGGCATGAGGCGCCCGACAGGATCTTTCACCTGTCGCGTTTCTCACAGTAATTCTCATACGCTCACCAACAGTAATCACTGAAGTAGCCATCTGCTGAACTGAACCAGCAGACGAACTAGATCTTCGAACTAGACGAACTAGACGAACTGGATTCTCTGAAGGGACTCCCCCATGTCTCAGGGATCTCAGTCTCGAATGTAGCATCGCGATAGTCATATTCCCGCAATGAGAGCATGACTCATCCACAAGTGCCGCCTCAGCGCGTGCTAAGCCCAGACACGTGAAGCAGTGCTTGTGGCCATCAGCTTGAGGGAGAAATCGACCGCATCCGGAAACGCACGGGCGATTCGACATCCTGAAAAGGACGCGAATACACTGTGGAGCTCTTTCAGAAACAGAAAAGAAAACAAAAAAGAAAACTGTTCTTCAGTGCCGAAGCGCCGAGGGATCTCTGCCGCAGACACCGCCGGAAACTGCAACCGCGTGCTGCACTCGAGACGAAGACCACTGGAAGTACTGTCACACCAGCACCCCGAACGTTTCTTCACCAGGCTCGTCTTCTTCAGAACAGCAGGTAAGCTCTGAGAGGCTCCGAAGCGAAAAGCGTCTTTGCTTCCGCTTTTATATCCGCGCTTGTAGGCGGCTCGCGGAATGCAAAGATTGCATGCCAATGGTTATTGGCTCGTTGTTAATTCTATCAGAGGTAATCAGGTTCCCTAGCGTGATCCCAATTTGTCAGGGAATCCCCGACGACATGTTGGAGTTCCCAGGACGAAAGGGAACATCTTTTGTGTTTAGCAGAAGAAAGAAATTCATACAGGTCTGACACAACCTGAGTGTGAGTAAACGATCACAGGATTTTCATTTTTGGGAGAACTATCCCTTTAAATATGTCACCAAGGTAACTGAAATTGCAAGAAAGACTTCTAAGTATCAAACAAATCAGCAATTGATCATCTCCACTCTTTAGAAGAAGAAGAAGAAGAAGAAGAAGAAGTTTTATTTACATAGCGCCTTTCCGTAGCTCAAGGTCGCTTTAGATTGTCCATTACAATAGATTTACACACCCGCACACACATTACAGTCACATAGGATATATAGTCACATTATACGAAATACATGTTAAATAGACATGTTTGTAACTGAGTCTTGAATGTAGTCACAGATGAGATATTTCAAAGTGTAAGGGGTGAATTCCATTAAAATTCACATGAAATTTTACATGAAAGGTTCTCCTATAAGTCTAAAAAATAATGTGTTTTTCTTAGTTTCTTTCACATGTAGATATGCAGATTACATTTTTGCTATTCTTTGATAATTTTAATTTGAACGGTTGTTACCTGGTATATGCTCTCGTGTCATTGCTTCCTGTGGATTCTGCATCTCCCTTTCCACAGATGTGGTCCTGTGTGATGATCTGCAGTTAAATAGAATATGGATCGAGGAATGGGTATGATCTCTATGGAATGGGTACAATCATCTGGATAAACTTGTATGTTTAGTCATACCTTTCATGCTTGTATACTTGGAGTTCAGGCACACTTTTGCGACATGTAATCAGTTGTTCGATTAAGTCACATTGCTCCAGATTTTTGTTAAAACCACACACTTTCCTTCCACATTGATAGAGAATCCTATCCAGGTTCTCGTCTGTTTCTTTGTTTGGCTTTACTGATGCCTCATCTTCGCTGCTGACCAGAATTACAACAGTATTTTCCTCCATTTTATTTCCAAATTTTTGTTGAAAATGTGCAAACATTTCCATATCCTTCTGAGAAACATGGTCACGCTGCAGAACAAATAAAATCATACATGGACACCAAGATGATGTCTCCATGTACCTCTGAATTACAGTCTGAGGCTCTTGAATAACAGTTATCCATTTGACTCCTATCTGCAGCGATACCTCTTCAGCAGATGTGGACTCTGGCAGGAAATGTTCATACCCAAGAATTTTATTTCCCACCAGACACTTACACCATCGCTTTGCCCCTATCAGAAAAAAATGTATGTCTCCACAGAACTGATCAGTGTGGTCAGCTCCTGTAACAAAGTCCACAAAAGCAGTTTTGAAATCCTGAATTGAAATGATTGGAAAGACTTCTATATAAGACTGCAATAAGGTGTAGTTAATGCATCACCTAACATGAACTAATGAGTAGTGTTTTTACAGCATTTATTAATCTTATTAGAGTCTCTTAAAGGGGTCATCGGATGCAAAATTCACTTTTATATGGTGTATGCATATAAATGTGTCTTTGCAGTGTTTTGACACAACCACCATACAATGAAGAAAATCCATTCTTTTTTTTTCTTTTTTTAAAAATCCCCCAAAAGTCTAAACACTCAATAACCATCCACGGCCGCCGACGGACTGTCCCGTATTAGCATGCCATTTGTTTACTGTCTGCCAAGGCAGGACTTTATGTGTCTTGTGTTAACACACCCCATGAAAGAGAGCGATGGGGTGAACAGTTTCCCTTTATTATTTAAAGAGTCATGCACCGAAATGGGTCACTGTAAACAGAGCTGTTTTTGAGCAGGTAAAAAAGGGTGTTGTTTTACAGAACCACTGAGGAATTTTAACCAAAGTATGTTACAAACTTTACATGAAGACTAAAGAATCATACCAACTTGTATGGGCATCCGATGACCCCTTAAAGTAATCCCACCTCATTTGTAAGCTATACTTTGAATTGAGCATCTGCTAAATAAAATGTAAATGCAGTTCAAAGTGCATTCACTATATGTTGACTTTTGATTTAAAAAATATATGAGTAAATGTTGAAATGAACATGAAGGTAAATAAATGCTGTATTGAACTCTCGCAACTTTATCTTCATTACGTCACTGAGTCTCTGAAATGATAAATGTTTCAAAGATTCCTCACTATTGAGCCTAAACTATTTAAAATGAAAACACCACAAACATTTTTTTTAAAAGCTTACCTTTTGACATACTGACTCAGTATGAAGTTTCAGATAATTTCACACAAAAACAGACAACTTGAGACACAATTTCTTGAAAGAGAATTTCTTGTAAGAGTCTTCTAACTGAAAGTGAAATTCCGGTGAGGTTGAAACTTTTTTTAAACTATGAAAAGGGGCGGATCAGAATTATTATCTAGGTCCTCCTCACTAAACACTGACATTATAGTTGTCATACTTTGCATTTTTATATCATTTTTATGTTCTGTGGAGTGACAACTCACTCTGACAGCTCAAGATAAAAGTCTGTGAGAAAAACGATAACTCAAAAGACATGGATCTGACAGACCTGGAATCTTCAAGTGAGAGTAAAATGTATGCATATACGGAGCGAATTATATGCCAAAATTAAACAAACAAATCCAGCATTTTGCAAACAAACTCGATCTGCTTTGTAAAGGAAAAATTAACTCGCAAACAAATTCGATCTGCTTTGCAAAGGAAAAATCGACTCAGAAAGCAGATTTGCAAAAACAAAGGTCAATTTGACTGAAAATGCAGTGGAGTAAACAATATTTTTTAATAGATATTCTCGATTTTCTCACAAATGCAGATGAGTAATTTCCTCTTCTAAAACAGTAGATGCTGATAAAATAGGGGATTAATTTAGCGTCTCCCGGGAAAAGCACTTACTGTATAAAACACGCTTGCCTTTGCCTACAGCTGAGGAAAAATCTTACTTTATCTATAATAAACATCTTGAGGTTTTCCTTTGCAAAATGTTTATTACAAGGCCACTGGGCCTTTAACATTGTTGAGGAAAAAATGCCACAAGGTAATTAGAACTGTGATTTTACAAAGATGAGAACAACAGACTCGTTCAGTGTAGACATAATCACTAATTTAGTCATTTCGCATGCGTCCAATCAAGAAAAAATTTAAAAACCAACATATGATGGCAGAGCTTTCAGCTAAGATTCCCAGAAAGAGTGAAAATTGTATTAGTTTGCCCGATTATTTTCGTTGGCCATTTAACATCTGTCAATTTTGAAATATTAAGCTATGGTACTTGGATCTTATCTCACACTTTATGACCATTAACAAATTAATGATCACAAATTAAACTGTTAATGCAACTATGTATTATGCTCATTTTGTTTAGCTGTCTATCTATCTATCTATCTATCTATCTATCTATCTATCTATCTATCTATCTATCTATCTATCTATCTAGTCCTAATAAAATAAAATATGTTGTGTCTATAAATTTGATATTTTTATTTTTTTAATCCACAGCACAATTCCACCTCAGATGGAGAGGACACCTTCTCACACTGTCCCTTGCCAAGATTCGGGACATTCTGATGTTGTTTTACAAAATAAGAGCCCCTCAAAACTCATATATTACCAAGGGGGTAATCCATCGACCGGAAGTTGAAGCCTCGCGGGAGCTACCATCTTGTAGCAGAACTTCATTTGCGTTAGCATTTCCATTGACTCCTAATCATTTTGCCGTCATTTTGACAGCGAATAACTTTACATCTGAGGTGTTTGAAGACTCCATTTGTCCCTAGACTCAAAACACAACAATGTATAAAATGCTCCATTACCTTGTAGCTTATGTTATGGTCCTGTAGAAGAAGTTTTTTGTAAAAGTAGGCTAACGATTGCTTCATACCCACTCGACTCTCTGTCGCACAGTAGAGAGATTACCGTATGGACAGGAAGAGAAGCTCGCAGGCAATCGGGGAAACATGGAGGCAAAATGACAAAATAATCAGAATACCTAGCAAAAGTTTCTCCTGCTCCTAGCTCATGGACAGCTCCTACTCACACTCGCCGCCTCTGCAAGTTTCGGAAGTGAATGATTCAGATTTCTCATGCCACAGCCACTAGAAGACAGACAGGTTGCTCACGTCACATCTACGTCGTCAAGCTCTGTTTGAGTCGGTTTGAGTCTGCGTGTCAGGAACGGAAGTCCTAAAAAAATTGCTAAAAATGGGCTTCACTTGTCTAAAATAAAAGTCATAGCTTCCACAGACCAATTCCACCTCAGCTGGAGAGTACACCTTCTCACAGTAGCGGTTCTAGGCACGGGCGAACCGGGCAGTCGCCTGGGGCGGCATTTCTTCATGTCACATGGGGGGCGGCACGAGCAGTTAAAAAAATACTCTGTGCCGCGAAGTTTTTCTATTTTTTATCATTTCGATTCAATTATTGGCAATGGCGCCCTGCTTGCTGAGAAGGTGCCGTGCGCAGAAGCGATGTCAAGGGAATCTCCTGATTAGCTCACGTATCGCGTCTTTTGCGCGCTCGAGGTCGTTATTTCAAATCCTCTATGTTTCAAATAGGTGCACGGGAAGCGCGCTCATTATGCGCTCACGGGAAGCGCGCTCATTAACTTTTCAGTATGGGACGGGAGTGCACGTGCACCCAAACACTTGGGTGTTTTTTCTGTTCTCCGTAAATACATCTTTTAGCAGAGCTACAGCAAGCGTTTTTCTGTGGTGGAAATACATTAGCTACTAAAACTCCTTTGTCGTTGTGGACAGCGCAGTGTAATGAGTGCATGGTTCTATAGCAACGACAGCCATGGGAAAATCGGTACGAATTTTACTATTAACAATAAAAGATAAGCTACTGTGCATTATAAATGTATCTTTATTGACTCATTCTTTTTATAGAGATGATTTAAATGCTGACATATGAGGTTTCTTTATATAAAACCTTTTTTTGTGTTAACCTTTTTTTAAGTTTAGTAAGTAAAATGAAAGAGACTCCTTTAAAACAAACCTTTAATATTATTAACTTGGTGAATTGATTTCACTGTGTATTAGGCTTTTTGAACAAGATTCTGTGTGTGATCATTTTGGTCACCATATTATCTAATACTTTTCATAATGATTAACTAAAATCAACTTTAATTATGAGTTTTTAGCCTTTAATATGCAAAGTTTTTTTTTTTGGGGGGGGGGGGGTGGCGGGGCGCTCGAAGGGGGTCTCGCCCTGGGTGTAATTCAAAGTAGAACTGCCACTGCCTTCTCAAGGTGTCAACTACAATGTTTCAGGACATTCTGAAGTAGTTTTACAAAATAAGAGCCCCCCCAAAACGTCTCGGTTACGGATGTAACCCTCGTTCCCTGAGTAGGGAACGGAGACGTTACGTCAGAAGTGACGGAGATCGGGGGTTTCGCATAGAAAGCCAATCCTCTTCGAGTATTTAAAAACGAGCCAATGGCATGCAATGCATTGGGGCTGCGGAAATTTGCATAGCGTACTCCGCCCTACTCCGTGAGTATAAAAGGAGGAAGTGAACGCAACCGCAGTATGTCTTCGCTGAGGAGCCAATACTGAACTCGGCGTCTACCCAGCGATACAGCAGAAGTGGCAGGGAGACGTAACGTCTCCGTTCCCTACTCAGGGAACGAGGGTTACATCCGTAACCGAGACGTTCCCTTTCGTAGTCACTTCGAGTTACGTCAGAAGTGACGGAGATCGGGGGTCTGTGCCATCACGCCATCTTCAAGCTGTCTACCAGTGCCCTGTGAAAGTCTGGACCCCTCCTCTCTTTTTTTTTTTTTTGGGGGGGGGTCCCACTTTGACACAGGATTACCAAGGTACACTGGGAAACATATCCCGGGAGGGACATGCTACCAGCTGCCTACTCCAAGGGGAGGACTTACAAATACGCATATGGCCACATAGGAACGCATATGGAAATACTGGAGCACCAACCGCAGGTGGCTACTAGAATTTAACTCCAGGGGTGGCAGATGGCTTGCCAAGGGAAGACACATGCTCAGAGAGGCTTACAGTGGATAATACACATGAGACGGTTACCATGGGGAACCGTGCACACGGAGGCACCTAGCCAGCATCCAGAGCAACAGCAGTGGTGCCCGCATCGTCGGTGCTGGAGGACTCAAGGCTTCAGAAGAACTGAGGAGATATCGCACTTACCCAGTCCGAGGAGTGGAATGGCGAGCAAGCGAAGACACCTAAGCGGGTCCAGTACTGGCGGAGCGAGTACGTGAGAGGACACCGGCTTAATTCGCAGATTATAGAATCTGGCGAAGGTGTTGGGTGTCACCCAGCCTGCAGCTCTGCAGATGTCTGTTAGCGAGGCGCCGTGCGCTAGAGCCCAAGAGGAGGCCACACTCCGAGTGGAATGGGCCGTCACACCAAGGGGGCACGGACGGCCTTGCTGCTGGTAAGACAAAGCAATGTCGTCCACTATCCAGTGGGACAGCCGTTGCTTTGAGAGAGCCCTTCCCTTCTGGCTCCCCCCATGACAGACAAAGAGCTGGTCTGAGGTCCTGAACACCGCGTTCTGTCGACATAGGTGCGGAGAGCACGTACCGGACAGAGCAGTGCCAAGGCTGGGTCTGCCTCCTCCAGGGGCAGCGCTTGCAGGTTCACCACCAGGTCCCGGAAGGGAGTGGTAGGAACCTTGGGCATAATCCAGGCCGGGGTCTCAGGAATACGTGAGAGTAAGCCGGCCCGAACTCCAGGCACACTTCGTCAACGGAGAGTGCGTGCAGGTCCCTTACTCTCCTAATGGAGACCAATGCAATCAGGAGTGCTGTCTACATAGGACAGGGCAAAAGCTCTACCGACTGCAAAGGCTCCAGGGGAGGCCTCTGCAGAGTACTTAGATCTACTGAGAGGTCCCCAGAGGGCACGAGGGGAGGGGGGTGGATTTAGCCCCCTCGCTCCCCTCAAGAACCTGATGACCAGGTCATGCTTCCCATAGACTTACCTTTCAATGCATCATGAGCCGCGACATAAACCCAAAGGGTGGAGGGCGACAGCCTACACTCCAACCCTTCTTGTAGGAAGGAAAGCACGACTCCGATCGAACATCTCCGGGGGTCTTCTTCGCGAGAAGAGCACCAGCTGACGAAGAGGTTCCACTTCAACGCATACAGGTGTCTCGTGGACGACGCTCTAGCGGAAGTGATGGTTGCCGCCACCACAGGTGGCAACGAACTCAAACCTCCCCCGTTCCGTCCCGGAGCCACATGTGTAGCCTCCAGGATCAGGACGAGGGTGCCACGGAGTGCCCCGTCTCTGAGTGAGTAGATCTTGTCTCAGAGGAATAGGCCAAGGAG